TTCCCACAGCCCTATGTTCCCACAGCCCTATGTTCCCACAGCCCTATGTTCCCACAGCCCTATGTTCCCACAGCCCTATGTTCCCACAGCCCTATGTTCCCACAGCCCTATGTTCCCACAGCCCTATGTTCCCACAGCCCTATGTTCCCACAGCCCTATGTTCCCACAGCCCTATGTTCCCACAGCCCTATGTTCCCACAGCCCTATGTTCCCACAGCCCTATGTTCCCACAGCCCTATGTTCCCACAGCCCTATGTTCCCACAGCCCTATGTTCCCACAGCCCTATGTTCCCACAGCCCTATGTTCCCACAGCCCTATGTTCCCACAGCCCTATGTTCCCACAGCCCTATGTTCCCACAGCCCTATGTTCCCACAGCCCTATGTTCCCACAGCCCTATGTTCCCACAGCCCTATGTTCCCACAGCTCTATGTTCCCACAGCCCTATGTTCCCACAGCCCTGTGTTCCCACAGCTCTATGTTCCCACAGCCCTGTGTTCCCACAGCCCTATGTTCCCACAGCCCTATGTTCCCACAGCCCTATGTTCCCACAGCTCTATGTTCCCACAACCCTATGTTCCCACAGCCCTGTGTTCCCACATTTCCCTTTTCATAAATTTGTATCAGATTTGACCCCCCTTTCTCCCAATTTGGTAGCCAGTTAAACCCAACCTATTATCCCCCTAACCCTAACTCTTGTGGGAGGATAGGGCTTAAATTGAAGGGAAATGTAGGAACACAAGACCTAATTTTGAAAATGTCCTAGAAATATGGGAACATAGGGCCTAATTTTAAGAAAAATTTTGGGAAATGTGGGAACATGGCTGTGGGACCATTGGGCTGTGGGAACATAGGGCTGACCCCAGTAAAACCATTGTTTTCCTATGATACGGCGTGTCTGGCCGGCGTTCAAGCGTCTTTTTAGACGGGAGTTTTTCTGGCGTCTTTTTAGACGCGCGTTTTTGTACACACTTCTTTTTAGACGTGTGTTTTTGTCAACACTTCTTTTAAGACCCGCGTAGACACTGAAAAGTTAAAATATTTTCAACTTTTTTGCGCGTCAGACGCCAGTAGTTAGCGCGCATTGAATAAGCACTTCCAGTGTTTCAAGCGTCTTTGAAGCGTCCACGTCTCTAGCGTCTCATTTCTGTGTGATCACCCCCTTTACAGTATAACTAGGCTGCTTCTTAGAGCGTACCTCCCATTCACTTACATTCTACTTTGCCCGGACTTCCAGTGTAACTCCTGGTCACTTCCCACCTACTTTCTCCAGTCTTACAGCATAACTCGCGGCCACTTACCATGTAATTCGCGAAACTTAAGGTGTAGTGTTGCGTCACTCTGGTGCAAAAAAAACAACAAAAAAACATTTCTGACAAGCTTATAGACATTTTCTGTGTGCGGGCTTGAAGTGGTGTTCCAATTCTTAGGGCTAAAGTCTCTGCATGTTGCTCTTCCTATAGGAGCGCCACAAGTGGGCAGTATACAGCACAGTGCAAAGTGCTCTATAAAGAGCTCTCTTCACATTAGCTGAACACTTTACCAGCTCATTTCTAGGACATTTTCAAAAGTGGTAGAGTGTCCGCCCTGAGACTGGGAGGTTGTGGGTTCGATCCCCAGCCAGGTCATACCAAAGACTATAAAAATGGGGACCCATTGCCTCCTTGCTTGGCACTCAGCATCAGGGGTTGGAATTGGGGGGGTTAGATCACCACATGATTCCTGAGCGCGGCACCGCTGCTCACCGCTCCCTCAGGGGATGGGTCAAATGCGGAGAACAAATTTCACATACTCAGGTGTGTGACAATCAGTGGAACTTTACCTTTACTTTAAACTACTGAATTTACGAACAGCTTATTAGCTTGTGCATACAACTTGTAGCACTGCCTGTGGTTATCTCTATCATCAGATAAATCATTCACAATATAATGGCTGAGATATTTAATCTCATTACACACTTTAAGAACAACACCAGAACACAACACAAGAATTCAGGAAATTTGAACATCTTTGGGATTTGGACTTTAAGGTGAGGACATCACATTAAAGTGTTGGAAGTTGTAGTGGATATTTTTCCCCACTGCAGTCCACTGTCACAGTCGGCAGATTAATGGATCATTTTTGTTCCTGCTGTTTAAAGTCATCCATAATAGTATTAGTAAGTAATAATATTAGTAGAGCAGCTGTTAAGTTTCGGTTTACAGTGAAGCTCGGGGCTCGTCACAGTCAAACTGCAGCCACACTGAGGTCATCTGTGACATTATCCATCCATCAAACTGACTGTAAATCAGACACAATTATAAACAAACATGTCAATTAAACAGTCAACAACAAACAGATGTGATGCAGAAATGTTTTTATATTTCTGTTCAGATCCTGACTCATGAATGCACCTCATGTTTTTCACCAGCAGAGGTCACGAATAATTCTGTTACGGCTGCAGTAGCTCCTCTGTCACCATCACTGTTTCTCTCTTCGCACTCTGTATCCACTCAAAAACCTTCAGGGTAAAACTGAGCCTGTATTTCTGCTTTAAAGTCCAGTTACTCACCATGAAGAAGACGTTGAAGCTGATGAAGAACAGCCTCAGACAGGGGTTGACCTGAGTCATGATGCTGCTGGTTGCAGCAGAGAAACATCAGCTGCACAGGGATGCTGAGCTGACTGATGTTCGGAGCAGGCAGTCAAAGTGAAACGAGGAGTCAGACGAGGGGCAAGGCTTCCTGTAAGAGATGGGAGGTGTAGGACGCTCCTTAAGGACACACATGATTCTCCAGAAACTAATTAAATACACTGAAAAATAAACCCTGACAATGTTTACATGGACTATAAGTGTCTGCCTCAGTTCATAGAGTCCTGACCCCAAGTTTGAGAGCCACTGTGCTGGATCAGAATCAGAAATATTGTTATTACATAGTAGGTTTGCACATACAAGGAAATGGTCTTGGTGATTTGGTGCATACCAATAAAGGCACTGCAAGCATCAAGAGAATATATGAGTGAGCGTAAAAATAAGTGGAAGAGCTGTATGCACATTAGAGTCACAGTTATGATTAGGTTCTTTGTTGTATCCCAGTTATGTATTTGCAGATGCAAACATCCAGAAACCTGGATAAACCCATATAATTTTGAATAATCTGACACATAAACACCCTGTCCAGGTTTCTGTAGTGGCTCTTAAACTTGAGTTGCACTGAAGTTTGACAGTATATCAGTACATATGATGATAAACGAAAGTCTGGCAATATGGAGGACAAATTAAATTTCTGAAGATCAGATGGAGCAGATAAATCAAATAAAGTTGGACATGCAGCAAGAAACCAGCTGCAACAGAAAGCACAGAGAGAACAGCTTCCTGCTGCTCAAATATAAAGTAAATAAAAACAGAAATAATAATAATAACTTTTATTTACTCTATTTAAATCTATTCAAAATATAAAAATGATGATGAGATAACTGATGCTGTGGGCTATAATCAGATCTAGTACTTCAGTAATATTTGCAGTTAAATAGTGTTAAAATACACTGTTACAAGTAAAAAGTACACAAATATTAGCACTGAAATATACTTTAAGTACCAAAAGTAAAAGTACTCATCATGAATGGCCCATTTGAGAACAATATATTCTAATATTGGATTGTAATTATTGATACATTAATGTGTTTATCACTTTAATGTTGCAGCTGATAAAAATGGAGCTCATTTTAATGACTTTATTTGAATAGTGCCGGGTTGTTCAATCTATAATTATGTATTTTATAATATTTTACTTGATTTAGAGTTTATATTAATATATTGAATCTGTAAAGTAACTCAATTTAACACATTAATGTCGTGTAGAAGAAGTATAAAGTAGCAGAAAATGGAAATTTAAAGTAAAGTACAGTTTTATGTCAAAGAAACGTTTGGTGCTAACAGTTGGTGTCCCTTTTATCTTCGACTCATAACTAAAACCAACTTAATTGATGGTGTGAATGATTTTCCACATTGCTAACACGTTAGCATGCTAAGTGGAGCACAAGCTAGCATGCTAACTGCCAAGTGTAGCTAGCAGAGGCTCATCATTTATACAATCATTAATATTATAATTTCCAAATTTATTGACAATACATAGTTGCTAATATTTTACACATGAGGACGAGGCGAATATTTTATCCCACTGGGCTGCAATTCGCCTGCAAAGTGACATGACGTTAGCAGAAACGCAGCTTTAGCATGCTAATTAGCTTTAGCATGGTAGCTAAGTTAGCATAACCTCACAGAGGCTAACCAGGAAAAAAATGTTAGCTACTGTTTGAAGTATTCTGGCCTGGTGGTGGTGGTGCAAGCTTCGTAAATATTTTAGGGGGTCAATATAATTTTATGGCAATCAATCAGTAGCTCTAGATGTATTTAACCTCTGGATTAAAATATTGAAGACAGAATAAAATACGTTGCAGTGTTCCTAACATGACTACAAAACATGAAAAATAAACTAATAATTATACTAAATAAAAATGAAAAAATAACAAGGAACTGAGCATTCAACCACCATAACTGTTGTCACTAAAATAAATCACCAAAAGTCTAATTTAAATTAATGTGTAGCCTATATAAATTTACTTCAAGTTTTACGATTTTTTATTTCCCTTGACACAATTACAAACAAGGCAGATTGAACACTATTAAAATCCCAACGTCTAAGCAGAAAAAATAAATTCAGGAAGACAAACAAAAATAAATAAAATACAATATAATATCTAAAATACAATAATAAGAAAATAAGAAAATAAATGACAGTGCATGCATTGTAAATAATAAAAATAGGCAATATAATAAATACATATAAATTGTCATAAATTAAAAGTTAGTTAATTTAGACTCCATTAATTTGTACAATCTTCCACGTCTTATAAATTCTCATATAGGTGCAGTAAAGGCAACATTCATTTCAAAAGCCATTAAAGAGGAAGGTTTTTTATGAATTACTCCTCTTCCTCCTCTCCTCTCCACCACGCCTTTTCTCCTCCCCTTCCTCCCTCTCTCTCTTCATCATCTCCAGCCTCCACCTGAGCTCCATCTCTGCACACACACCTCTCTCTGTCGTCCCTGAGCCAGATGGAAACCTCTGCCTTTCCCGGTGCTGCCGCAGCTGCACAGCGGCTGCTCCTGCTGTAGCCAGGCAGCTGCAGGACACCGCAGGGCGGGGAAGCATCGTCGCAGGGGGCCGGTGTTGTGGAGCGGATCTCTGGAGCTCTGACAGCGTCTCCTCTCTCATGCTGCACGCTGCGGACCCGCAGATAGATGCACGGAAACACACACTTTTCCTTGATGCGTAATTGCAGCAGTGAGAGAAGCTGCAGGAGCCGATTTATTTCAGTGTGAGCTGCAGAAAAGGAGGAAGGATGAGCCGCAGACGAGGGACAGGAGGACTCCTCTCCGTGTTCCTTTTCTTGTGTCTGCTGTGGACGCAGCTGCTGGTCACAGGTAAGCGTCTGTTGTCTGTAGCTGTGTTGCCTCCAAGCACAAATGCTAGAGCTCACATCGGTGCATTAGCCTGTTCTTTGTTAATTACGTGCTCCTTTCTGTCAGTCACCGTGTTGAAGTGAACCAAAATGCTTCTAACAGATCCTCACATGTTTGCGTGCACAGGTAAAAGAAGCAAAATGACCTCTTTAACCTGCCATTGGAATGTGTCCATAGAAATGACAGGTATTTTATAGTCTGTTACCAGCTTAACCCTTAAATAATGAGCGCTGCAGGACTATATCTGCAGATTAATGCAGGATGTTGTACATTAAATCATGAGAACAGAAGCTCAAACCTTCACAAGAATTTGATAGGATTATAATCACATTATGGTGTAGTCATGTGGTAGTTAAGGGGGAATAAGAGCCCTCTCAAGGGAACCTTAATCTTCATGAACATTATTGTTATATACAGTGATCATACAGTATGTGGAGAGGTGCCAGATTCTGTCCTCAGAGGTCAAACAGTCTAAAACCCACAAACGGATTCAGCTTGAAATGTCAGAGAAGAAGAGTAGATCTGAACCTCTGAGGTTTTAAGGCCAGTGTTTAATTAACAGAAGCGTATTTTAATCTAACCATAACCCCGGGACTTTCACATTCACTCAATATCTGTGGGGATTATTTGATCTTGTAGCACAAAATGCAAATACACGTCTGTTTAATGACGGGTTTCCTGTGTGAACATCAAAAACTGAATTCAGGTCAGCGTAAACCACAAGACTGAGGTCTCACAGAGCCGAGAGCCTAATTGGCTCCCTGATGCAGGTCCTGTAATTACCATTAGATGCTGGCTGCATTAATGTGAATGCAAAAAACCCCCCCGTCACTACCTACTCTTCAAAATGCAGAATAAATAAATTTGAGTATCAATTTGTGTTGGATTTATTTGATACTGAATCAGTGATATGCAGTGATATACCTGGGAATGGGTTAGCATTTTCACGCTTCAGCTCCTTCTGCTTGAAGTCAGTGGGCTTTTTAAATGGGTCTTCGGTTAGATGCCTGAAATAAGGTCTGTTTCACACAAGCTGAAGAGACTTTCATGTCTTCTTCTACAACGTCAAATATGTCAGTAAATATCCCACTTGTGAATTTTGAAGCTTCCATGTAGGGCTGCCTCTTGAAAGTTGGAGATTGGAATCGTTAGTCACAGACCCCTCGGTCAACTAAGATTGCCTCATTTTACCGGTCAGTGTGCAGTGCAGTGAACATGTGGGGACGTTTTGGTCCCCAGATTTTGCTGCAGAATGAGCGCTCTTGACTTTCACTCTACCCTTTGGTTCAGCCAGCTGCAGACGAGATGCAGTGGCACAGTTAGAGAGAAACTTTCCATCTTAAGGTTCTGAGATAACATTATCTTCTTACTTCTGCATGGAAGTGGTGAATTTACAGCTCACAGATACTTAACACCACAGACACTGGGTTTTGTTTGATATCTGTTGTCGGCAAAAATGTTGTTGCACTTTTCCGATCTGTTGTTAGCACCGTTAGCTTGTTTACCATATTATGTGAATGCAGCTGTCACAGTGAACGTCCTGCTGAGCCCCGTTCAAACTTTAAATGTTTGTACTTGGTGCATGATAATATTCGCACATCAGCCGTATCAGACGGTATTGGCTTTAAAATGAATGGATACCGATATCGGCTCAGTAAGTTGTTTTATATCGGCGTGGATTGCAGCAAAAAATCCAATATCATGCGTCCTTGATATGGAAAAATCCTGAATATGGAAAAATCCTTTATTTTTTGTGTAGCACTCTTGAGCCCCTTCTACTGTGCGATCACACAGAGCGCGAGTGAAGCGAATTACTCGCGAGTAACGCGCGAGTTTGGATGCCGGACCATTTTGTTACTTCGTGTTATCGCGCAAGTAGCGAGCCCGCCCATTTTCACTAGACAACAACACAAACTAATAAAAGACACATATTTACAGAACTTACCAGGTAGACCAGTCTCCTCGGCGACTTTCACCCAAGCCTGCTCCTTTTTGTTGCGGTCTCTGTAGAGTGGACGTTGAATCATACAGCTCCAGGTAGCTGCACACCGCAACGATGAGTTTCTCCTCCATCTTGGCATCAACAACTGGACGTCAGGGCGTCATGAGAGAATCTCAATGCTGATTGGCTTTCGCGGCACAGCGTCACGCAAATTCGCCTCAAATGTTCAATATTTTCAACTTGAGCGATGAGGCGATGGATGTGAATTTCGCGGCTATCGCGCCGCACCTACGTGTCTATCGCGTCGTGCTAGATGCGTCAATCATGCTGCCCGGTGTGAATTCGCGTCTAATCGCGTCTTTGCATTGACTTTGTATTTAATCTTGATGCGTGAATTTGCGAATTTGTGAATTTGCGAAATTGAGTTCTGTGTGAACGCCCAGTTACACTGCCAGATTTTCCATGAATGTTGGGCCGTTTTGCCGGCAAGCTGCGAGTGTTTAGACACACAGAGCCGGATTGACGAGTTGATCTGAGGTGCCCAATTTTCCGCCTCGTAGGGTAGACATATTGGCGGGACTCTTTTAGTTTAAACAGACCGAGGCGGCCTTCCACAACGGGAGGGGCTGTTGATGACTTGTGGGAGGAGCTGTTGAAGACTTGTGGGAGGAGCTGTTGATGACTTGTGGGAGGAGCTGTTGATGCCTTGTGGGAGGAGCTGTTGAAGACTTGTGGGAGGAGCTGTTGATGACTTGTGGGAGGAGCTGTTGATGACTTGTGGGAGGAGCTGTTGATGACGCCGCACGTGCGACCCACTGGTGGTGGATAAACAGGAAACAGCTGATAGCAGGAATTAGCGAGCAGCTAGTAGCAAGAGGGAAACACAAACCTGACAGACACTGTAAAGATGAGCAACTGGGGAGACAAGGAATTGCGCGCCCTCCTTGTCCTCGCAAATGAAGAGGCCATTAACCATCAGATGACGGGGACGGTGAAGAACGGGCCGACTTACGAGAGAATCACCGAAGGACTGACCAGCCGCGGCTTCCCTCCCACGTCACTGTTTACGTCACACGCTGAGCTACACGTTTTGTTACTTGCTCACGCCCCCCATTGCCCCGAAAAAGGCACATTCTGTAGGTAGGTACAAAAGTAGGTAGGCGGCATTTTGCTGCACTCCCCGATTTTGTTTTTATACTGCCAATGCTGAAAAAAGACTGATTGGGCTTTCCTGCAAATTTGCACAACTCCTGTTTAAAAAGGGCGTTTGAAACACTAATAACATTCATACAACACTGAATAAAGACGCAATAATGCATCAGTCATTTTGAAGGAATTTCTCAAAGCGTTGAGGACTCTTTCCTCCATTCCTGTTTGTCAATGACACAACTCAAGGCTCAAAATTAGGGATGTTTGTTTTGGTTAATTTTACCACCAACATTCCGGCACATAAAGTAGGGTTGGGCACGATGTTTTTATAGCAACACTGTGGGGTCGAACAGCATTACTAGCAGTAATTGACGAATGATTGGCGCCACCAGCTAGCGCACACCTGACCCAGGTGGAGAGTAGTGCAGTAAACTGAAAAGTAGCATAATGAACCTATAGACTGACATCTACTTTATCTCAGTTTTTGTGAGAGCAGCAAAGGTCCACATTTATTTTAACACCCCAAACTGCTTCTTTCTCTCCTGATACTGATTTTAAATACCTCAGCTCATGATATCTCCTGATGCAGAGTACCTGTCTGACAACAGTCCGCTCTTTTTCCCAGGTTTAAACTCTGTATATGACGCTGTGTCAAACTGACGGGATCTGTTTTTATGTGATTAACATGAGGCCAAAGATTGAGAGAGAAAGCATTAAATTCTATAATGACATCGACCAAGATCAGTTTATAACGTGGATTTCATTGCTTCAGATTGGATCAGTGCATCCCTACAAATATGTCCTTGTTTTCAATGTATATATTAGAAATATGTTCATATCATTCTGTGTTTGAGTAGCCTAATAATTAGTATTGAGATGTTTATCAATCAGTTATCCTAAATATGTAGACACGTTGTTCTGCTTTGATTTTAGAAATGACTGATTTAAACACAGCAGCAGACAGTTGTTTATTTTAAGGAAAACAGAAGCTAATTTCTGTAATAATGAATAAATGATGATTTCATTAAAGACACAAAGTTAAGTTTTGAGTATTTTATGACAGCATTATGTTTTCAAACACAGAGACTGTGAGTCAGACACATGGTTTATTAGAGATGCTCAACATCAGATGCAGTCATCTTCCAGTGTGTGTGTTGTGGAGTGTGTCTCCCCACAGACTTACCGGGTCAGCCCTCTCTAACTCGACCTCTGATTGGCTGACGGCTCCCACTGAGGTGAGGCAAGGGCCGACTCTGACCAATCAGAGCGCGGCTCAGCTCGGCATCATGCATAGCAACCAGGACGCTGTCGTTAGGGAGAAAAGAGGCCGTGGAGAGAGAAGCTGTGTCAGCTCCTGAGACGTCTCAAAGAACCGATTCAGTCAGTGAAACCTCCTGAAACTGCTGCTTCAGGATGTTCTTAATTCAGCAGAATACAGTGCATACTGTGATTTATTATGACTCAGTCTGCACTGATGCAGCTTCTTAACTCTTTTCAGAAACAGGAAGTTCCCATAAAACAGTCAGACGTCTTTATATCTCACATTCTACCTGTAAACAAACACAGGGTCACAGTTTGTGATTTCTGTCTGCATCTGTTGAGTCACACAACAGATTTTTTGACGCAGATGCAGCCAAGAGAAATCGTCGTGTTCTTGGCAGGCAGACAGTCTGGGAGACAGAAGTCAGAGGACGCTGTCAGATATTTTTCTTTCAGTGTATTTTCTGGCAGAACAGACAGCCGAGTCTAACAGACGCCCGGACGAGCGGTCTGACAGCTCAGACTGTGTGCAGGTCAAACTGAAGCTGGAAGAGAACCCTCCAGTGTCAGCTCTGAGGAACAAATTTCTTTCCCTGCCATGGTGGGAGAA